TTGTTTATATCATGGTTTGCTATGTATTAGTTATACATAGGGGTGTACAAACCGAACCGGAAAATCGCACCAAACCGAAAAGTCAAACCAAACCGATTAAAAAACTCGACTAGGTTTGGTTTGATTTGGTTTGATATTGAGTAAAAAAAACCCGAACCAAACCGACATATAAATATATAATTTTTATATATACTTTTAAGATTTTATATAGAATTTTCTTTTAAAAAATGTCTAGAAATATTTGGGAAACTCTTGCGGGATATAGTATTTAATAGTACATGAAGTGCTCCATATTTATTAACCTTAAATAATGGATTGTATGATCACTTTCTCAATAAGTGTTACTGAAATGTGTCAATCTCTTTGTTCTTCCATATTCATATCATACGTTAACATCTATTAAATTCTTATATCTTTTGCGAATGTGAAGCGATTATTATTATTTAGGTATCATATTGATTTTTATATTTAATTACTAAATTCGGTTTAACCTTGAAAGTGTACATGAACGAAAATTATTGTCAGATGACTAAAAAAATAACTATTATGTGTTACTAAGAAAATTCTCCCATAAAAATATTTTAATAGATAAAATGTTGGTCAGTTTTTTATATTATTACTAAACATATATTTACTTATCAAAAATTTAACAAAGTAAGATTGAAATAATATTTAAGTAACAAAAAACCCGAAAAATCCGAAAAATCCGACAAAACCGAACCAATCCAAACCGATATAGTTGGTTTGGTTTAGTTTTGATAAAAACCGAACCAACTCGGTCCATGTACACCTCTTATACATAGGATAATACCAAATAAATTGTATAATTAATTTTTGCATTAGTAATACATAGATTAAAAAGTATACCAAACAAGGGATTAATAATATCAAAAGTTAATTCATGCATTATTTTCTTTAATGTATCCAACCAAACGACCCCTAAGTCACTTATCGGATGATAAATATGACTAATTTAATATTGAATTAGTACGTAATAAACTTATAATAGAATTCTACGTTGTGAATTCATACAGAATTGGTTTTAATAACTTCGTCTATTGACAAAATATGACATATATATTTAATTAAAAAAATAGTATGTGTGACTCTATACAAATTAATCGGACACATTCATTAGTACTCCTTTCTTTTGTCGATAATTCCTTACAAATCTGGCATGACTCTAATTAGGTGGCCTTCAGTATCTTTATCGAGTTATTGAAAATTTTGAGGCTTAATTTGCTGCAATTTTGAGGTGCTCACTTATCTTAATTCAACTGTGCCTAATTTATCTGAATTTGGTATCATTATTGGGAATTATTTACCTTTCCATGATTTGTCCTTTCATTGGACAAGGCGGCTCGGATGCTAATAAAGCGACTCTCTCTCTTGCTCGAATAGCTTTACTGTATACAACTCGTGTAACTTTACAAGGTCATGACATTTGTATAGTTATAAAAACTTCTCATTAAGAGTAAAATAAAGAGTTTAAAGTTGAATTATTTTTAATTGTAGAAATATGATATTATTTTTGGAACGGACAAATAAAGAAAATATTTTATCTAAATTGAAACACATGGAGTACTTATTAATTGAAATTACCTATAATTACATTTCAAGTGACTTAATGGTGAAAAAATAGTTTACATTGTTTATATATAGAACTAATTAAACTCTTATTTAATTCTGAGTCCTCCGTACAGATAAACAATATTTGGATTCAGCACGAATAATTAAAGAGAAGTTAGGATAGATTTACGGTAAGCATAAAGACATTTATCAGGGCAGTCATTCCATAAAGCAAGTAAAGCAACCAAACTGCTTAATTTATTCAGTAATAACATAAATCCTGTAAACATAGAAATAAGAATTGCTAGAACGATATAAAGAATTCATACAGCACCAAACTGCTTAACTTATCCAGGATTATTAATTGATTGAATATTATTACTAAGTAGACACTGTCAAATTCTGGATATAGTAGTAAAAAGACACTGTCAAATTCTGGATATAGTAGTAAAAAGAAAAAAAAACGTAAGGAAAACAAACGGTGAAATAAAAAGAGCAGCAGCCGACTGATGTAAAATGCCTGAACTAATAGTTCAATAAATAGAGACAAAATTAATAAAAACAAAACTATATTACATTCATATTTTTCACTTTCTTTTTTTGGTAACTAGTATAATTTTATTAATCACCAAGAAATATTTACAATCCCAGGCCCATATATTTCAAATCTCGGCTCCCTCCATAAAGGGGAAGAGTCACAATCTCCCTTATTTCCTAACAATAAAATTCATTTTTTTGAAAGTAGCTAAGCTCACACGGCTAGCTATCTCATCAAGTGACTAAAGGATGCTACACAGCCATTTCCAACTAAGTTCATACNTGTTTAATTAATTTGTCCGTATAAATTGAAAGACAAATAATTCGAGCAGAAGCACATAACTAATAGACTAAATATTTACTCTATTTGGATCATATAAATATACTATATTTAGACGGTATAAATAAGAACACGTATATGTTCAAAGTAATATGGCACCCGCAACATCTAAATCCTAGATCCGGCTCTCAGTTCATACATCTATCTACTAAAGAAATGACAAAAGGACGAGACTATATATGCAGATAGGTCCGGGATCCAAGTAGCACTCGAGCACTTCATATAAAAGTTATTTCCTTGGCAATACTTTTTCACTGTCTGCTTCTTTGTTCAAAAACTCTGAGATTCCTTTCAATCCAAATCTGATTTATACACAGCTTCTGTAAATACCATCTTGAACATTTGTGCCCGCTGCGATTTGCCTTTAGAGAATGTGATGATCCACTGGTTATGTTGTTGCCAATCTCGGGCCCTGGGGCATTGCATTTGCAGCCATTGAAATAGCTTGTTCCAAACATTTTTGGTGTACTCACACTTCATAAACAAGTGTTCTCTATTTTCCTCCTGCAATTGGCAAAGCACACATTATGTATCCACATTGAGTCCCCATTTACACAACCTATCAGAGGTTAATAGCTTTCCGTGCATCATGAGCCACCTTGGTAGGTATCACAAATAGTTGAGCCCAGAAAGCTTGGATATCAAATATATAACACACTCTAAACTAACTGCACCCTCCCTGCATAGGACAATGTCCTAGCAGTTCAAGAGGTGATCCTTGCAGTCATTTTATCTATAAGGGGTTGCCACTGCAGTATACTGAGCTTCTTTGCAGACAATGGAACTCCAAGAAAAAAAACTTTTGAAACTTGTCATCTAAAACAAGCCTTATACATTTGTGTGATTATAAATTATCTCATTAAGAATAATACAAAAATTAAGTTTGAAGTTAAATTATTATTAATTATAAATATAGAATTTTTTTAAAATAAATTAAAAAGAAAAGGTTGTCACATAAAATAGGACTAGTTTATCATTTTCTTTTTCTTTTTTTGCTTTGTCTGATCATCTTTTGAAATTTACTAAGATATTACTTCTTCGATCATCTTCAAATGCATTAGTACAATTTAGCATATCATTATTGTTGTAGTTTGCAACTATAATGGCAATGTTGTAAACTTCAATTCCATTTGAAACAATGAAATATTTCTTCTCTGATCCAAATTTTATTCATGTGATATTGGTTAGAAAGCGTGTTATGGTTGGAAATATTAGTTATAAAGCGTGTTATGGTTTTCGTAACAGCTCAAAAGGAGATAAAAATGGGAAATTTAAAAATAGCCAGATTTACAAGTAGTCATTCAAAAATAGCCAGTTTCAAAAGTAATCGAAATTTAGCCACTTTTCATGTAAAGATAAATTTAAACGAAAACATTGTTCAAAATCCGAAAAAAAATACTCTAGTATATTATACTGGAGTTCCAATAATATAGTGGAGTTCCAGTATAATATATCGGTCCAGCATAATATACTGGGGATTGGGGCATCTGTGCTTTAATCTCCAGTATATTATATTGGAACTTTCCGCGCGCTAAAGTTCCAGCATAATATGCTGGAAGTTCATATACATGTGCATCGATCTCCAGTATATTATGCTGGAACTTTCCGTGTTGCAACAAAACAATTGCTATTTTTCAATAATTTTGCAAACGCTAATTATTTTTGAATGACCAGTCCGAAAACTGGCTAACTCGTGTTATTTTTACGATAAAAATAGAAGGAAAAAAAAAGGGACATCATTAATGTAACAAAATAATGGTGAAGAATTGGGATAGGTGGTAAAGTGAATTTTTTTTTTTTTTTTTTTTTTTTTTTTGTCTTGGAAATCTTGGTCATCAGGTAATGAGGTGGAAGAAATCTATTGGATGGAGAGAAGTACTTCTTACTAGTCATTTTGTTACAATGTTTTTACAAATGCTAAACGACAATTAAATACCTGTATTTCCAATTTCAAGTTTATTCATGTTTCAGTGAGTGATATTAATCAAAACTCGATCGAGTTCCCGTTCGAACATTATAGTTTGTTAATTGCTCTTCACGATGTCTGTAAGTTATTATTTGTTTCTGCCTTTGTTTCAGTTTTCTATTTGCATTCCTGAGTGTTAGTTTTGTATTATCGCTTCAGTTGTCAGATTTAGTTTGCTTGTTATTGTCTCTTTTATTTATTTTTCCTGAGCCGAGAATTTACCAAAAACAGCATCTCTTCCTTCTCAAAGATAGGGGTAAAGACTTCGTACACTCTACCCTCCTCAAACCTTACTTGTGAGAATACACTCGGATATATTATTGTTGTAAATGCTCTTCACGGAAATGCAAAAAAAGAGGATGTTAACAAAGGAAGAGCAAAATCATTTCCTTCTAAAAGACTAACACTGTTCTATTATCTTCTTTTATCCAATGTTATTCAAAGAAAGTACATTATTTCTTGTGTCACCATTTTTTTCCTTTTAACAGATCCGATAAAAGAAACGTTGAAATAGAGATCAGGAGTTTAAATTTCCAAGTGACTGTTCCCAGCTAATTGGGAAAAATAAGCATTAACTTAATACAGTTGAACCTGGAAAATAAACCCTGTAATGAAGATTAGTTTTAATCAACTTCTGAAGCCATGACAATTTAATAAATCATAACACATCTCACTATTTCTACCACAACTTGCATCTCACCCACACTACAAAAAGGGTAAACTGTAAAGTATAAACCAGAAGATATTGGAAAGAAAAGAAAAATGACTCAATAAATTGTTCTAACATACTCCATATATAACAAACAACCAATGGCACAATCTCTTCACTACACCATCCAATTTTCAAGACCATGATTTTGAAACAGCTCCAAGCAAATGGCTACTGTTGCTTGCACTCAGGTGGTCTCTCACCGGGCTGACCATCAGCTGCAGGTGCTCCTCCACTCCTCTGCATAGACGAGAAATAAGTAAGCATGTCAGAGGTTGTTTATAAAGGAGATGAAGTAAACTTCAGCAAACATAAAAAGAAATGGATTATACCTTGCGCCCAGCAGATGACTGTGATGATTGAAACAAAGAGAGGAAAATAGTTAGTACTAATGGACATCTCAACTAACAATGATATTCGTGTTACTAACAATTCAATTACCTTCTTCTTGGTCTTTGTAACATGTTCATCCTCGTCGTCATCATCTTCATCTTCATCCTCCTCTTCCTCATCCTCTTCATCCTCATCTTCATCTTCATCATCTTCTTCATCCTCATCATCTTCTAAGTCAATGTAATCTTCATCCTGAGCAGCTTCCCCAGTAAACCATGAAACTGCATGTGGAATAATCTTATCTCGGATAGTTGACCTGCATAAATCATAAGCATATGGATCTTTAAATACTAAAACGAACATATAATTGACATTTTAGTTTGTTTATATTCTAAATTTGCAACATCCACATCCCAGAAAATCACACTCGTGTGCTTTAGCAAATTGATTAGTTCAGCTTGGCTTACCCAATATCATAGTCTTGTTCCATCAAATTTTGAAGTTCTTCAGCCTATACAAGAAAAGAAGATGAGTTACAAACCATTTTAAACTGTACATTTGTGTATGTTTGCGTAATGTAACCACTAGAACATTTCATACAGCATCTTCGTCAATATCTTCTTCGTCATCTGGTACTTGAGGTGGACTAAAGAAGTTGAAAAAACTTTCACATTGTTCTATTTTAGTGATAGGTTTGGAGTTCTTTGACCCCTTCTTTGGCTTCTTCTTCAGAATCTTTTGTGTCAAGCATTTACCTGGATGCCATTCAATCTCGGTCCTACAAAATTCAGAGAGATAAGAAGCCATGGTGGGAAAATAATCACAATGATCAGATGAAGAAACCTTGCTTGCCGATTATGACGTGGTGACATACCCTATTGCCTTCTCCAAAATTGGTTCATCTTCATCAATCATGTGATACGTCTTGGTGAGCACAGTGTTTGTGAAGTAGGGATTAGTCTCGAAGAAAAATTCAAGCTTAAAACCCTTTGGATTTTCAATCCTAGACCACTTTATATCCTTGAGAAATTTGAGAGCTCCTTCATCTCGCTCAGTAATCTATAACTCAAAGAATAGACCAGATTAATGCAATTTTCTGGCTAGTTTTTAAAGAAAATTTAACGAACAAGAATAGACGACTCATCATCAACTGACCTCTTCAGCTAACACTTCATTATTCTTCATTGCTGTGACCCAGAAATCAGGAACTCCTTTCTCTATATAAAAGGAAAGAGACAAAAGCTTGTCAATAATACTGATCGTCATAAAGCAACCATCAAGGAAAATTGATAATCAACATACCGACTGAGTCTTTATCCTCTTCCTCATCTGCTGCAGCAGTCTGAGTTGCCTCACCATCAACTTCAACAACTCCATTAACAATTTCAGATCTCTGCGAATGTTTACTTTAGTTAAGTTCAGTTATTGATCAAGGAAACAGTATCGATGGATGCAAAGAGGTAAGTGAAGCAATACAGCAGACCTTTGCATAAAGGGGCTGATACTGCTTCTGGTACTTGGCTTCAAGGGCTGCTCTCTCCTCAAAAAACTTTGCCTCCAATTCATCATGTTGAGTCTGTGTTTAACATGATGACAACAAATCAACATCAACAGACACAAAAGTCACAATCAGATAAGACACAATATCTAACAGAAAAACAAATAGGTGACTATCTAGATACTAAAGATAATTAAAAAGCAACTGAAACACAATTAGGCAGCTAATGCACAGGACATCCTGTTAACCGAGGAGGTAATGCACTGAATAACAGGCAACATTGGTGACCACCCGAGGTTGCATTTTCTTTTAAAACAAGGATCGCCATGAGTTGCAGATGCTGCTTCCGCCCTCCCCTTTTCTTTTTTCTTTTTTTGGGTTTTCCTTGAAATAACTACATTTAGCAGAGTCTGAAAGGCTAGAAACTTTCATGTAGTCAGATATAGTGTATTCAACCATCACTAATAAGGCCATTCCTAGTGAAACCAGTGGAATTATTCCAAGAACCTATGTAAATCTCTGGTTTCCGATTCGCTCATCATGCGACATAATATTGAAATTGAAGGAAGAACATTTTGTGAGGGACTTCCCCTTAGGATTATTAAAGAACTCCACATCCAGAAAAGAATGGAAGAAGGTGCAACATCGAATCCTGCAGAGGCGGCTCAATAATAATGGAGGCCTAAAGCCAAACCATAGTAAGAGGCCTTAAACTTGTTTAATAATTTTAGATATTTTTGTTGAAGTTTATTCTTTTTACTTTAAGAGATGCAAATTCATCTTGATGATGTAACCAACCCCTTTAATTTTAGTTGAAATAAATATTACTAAGCTTTGATAAGATTTTATTAAGTTTAGTTTTGAATTTTTCTTTTCACATGACCGTCAACATAACTTACTGGATAGCATTGCCGCCCAAAGTAACAATCATGTGAAAATTTGTACTTACAAATATGATAAATAAACTAACTATTGCTTTTTACGATCTAATAGCTTGAAGTGTGCGTACATAGATCTTGAAAGAAATACTCTACAAAGTTAAGTTATAAATAAAATTTATTCTAGTTGCAGTAAGAAGAACTAGAAAGTAACTACAAATTTAATTGTCTTGCACTTTCATTTGAATTTTCTCAACCAGTTCCAAAAAAAAAAAAAGACAACACACAAAATATAAAACATGTTATTAATGATTGGTGACAAGGTAGCAAAAGATGATTGTAAAAAATTTCTTAATCACTATTTAATAGGAGTAATAAATACAATAAATATTTAAATTACATATAAAAATAGTAGCTTTGGGGCCTCTAATTTTGTGAGGCCTAAAGCGGCCGCTTTAGTGGCCTGGGGGTTAAGCCACCTCTGAATCCTGATGCATTACTTGGAAGAAGATCTTCCCTCAGCTCTCTCATAAATTTTGAACATAATTTGGAAACTAGTGCACAGTGCACCAGATGAGTCAAAGCAAATAGTATTGTGAATGGTACTATATTACTCCATCTGTTTCCTAGTAACCTCCAGGTCCTCCACTGTAGACTGTACCCAAACAGATGGTGGAGGGGATAATTACCACACGACTGAGCCAAAGACCTATACATCCATTAGACGGGTTCAGGTTCCAACGGCAAAGTGGAGTAAACATGTTCACCTCTAGTGAGATGATGCTTATTATTAGGCAAAAAATGTGGTCCATTGAACCACTAACATCCGGTGAATCAATATAATCTTTAAGAAGTTCTATAATCAATACCGCTTGGACTCCCACTCCCACAAATCCAACCCACCCACCCCTGACTTTTCATGTATAGGTCAGTCAGAATGTTGGACGGCATAAAAGAAACTTGAGAGCATGGTCCCTGCTGCAATTTAGTATCTACAATTTGTGCTTTCTTTTAGAATAACCAACTTCCCATCATTTGAATATCAAAATTTCTTACATACCAACCTAAAAATTTCATCAACTCAACTTAAACATGAAGATCTTCAAGAACCAAATGAGACCGAAGAGAAAACTAGGAAATTGAGAAAGGCCCGATCTTTTCAGTTTCTATCAACTACTCCAGTATTAAACAGATGGGTTGACCTCATACAACCTTTTGTTACTACTTGCAGAAAAACAAACTCCGATATCTGTTTTCTGAACCATATAAATGAATTGAAATGTCTAATAGGATAACAGTTATGCAACCTTTTGTTATTACTTGCAGAAAAACAAACAAACTCCGATATCTGTTTTCTGAACCATATAAATGAATTGAAATGTCTAATAGGATAACAGTTATCACAATCATTAACAAGAACCATGTTTGGCAAGAGGCACATAACATAGGCTTTTAGAACTTCATTGAAACAACAAATACGAAATGATTTGCTAAAAACGGCACGGTACCACGAAAGAACATATTTAAACAGCATTGGGTAAGAATACCACTTGCCTGAATCTCCCTAAGAACCTCAACTCGTTTTCTAACATTGGGAGATAAATTCTCTAGCACGTTTGAGTGCTTCCCAGTTAGGCCCTGTAGCTTATTCTACAAAAACAAACCACGAATATGACACCCAGTTCAGAGCATAGCAATAATCTCCATAAAGCAAAAACAAAGAACGAACAGAAAAGATGCACTAAAAAAAAACTCACTTTGAGAACATTAACAAGGTCATCTCTGTCCTCAGCATTCAAAGCTACAAAAAAAAAAAAAAAAAAAATAAGATGTTCAGTTAAGAGAAATTCAAACCCAATACAACAAAAATGAAGAGAAACAAGGAAATAAGACTATAGGATTCTATTTAAGTAGATAAGGTATTTACCAGCAGTAAGATCGGCGACGTTGAAGTTATCTTTAGCGTTGCTCATTATGGAAGCTCAAAAACTAGAAGAAGCAACCAAAGGAGAAAACCCTAAAAACAGGGGGAGGAGAATTGGGGAAAGAGATGAGAGAGAGAAATGGCTAAGCGCCCAAATTTAAGCTCTTTTAGTACTCTTCTCCATCTCTGTCAGAAAACCTAGCATCTTACTGGGTCCAATATATTGACTCTACTTAAGGCTGTGTTTGGTAGGCTATAAAATTAAATGCGAATATACTAATTTTTTTTCCTTTTTATTTCTTTCTTGCTCCTAGATTTTTCTCCTAATTTGCTTTTTTATTTATGTTAAGAAAAGGATTTTCATTATATAACCTTCTTAGACATTTATTCATTATTTGATATCAGAAAATACTCATTTAAAGCATAATTTAAGTGTGAACCAAAGTTACCATTAAGATATTGTCACACCTCCTTTTTGTAATTCTTTCATAGGGCAAAAATCACGTGCTGACAGATATTAACACAAAAAAATCAAATGTGATTCTGTTAGATAAATATTAAGACGAGCACACAAAAGCAAATAAGCTATACATTATTACGAGTTTAAGTTTGATGCACTATCAGCGTAAAAGACTTCTTAGTAAGAGTGTATGATTATCTAAAACTATGTCAACTGTCATCTTGTTTAAACATAAATTTCTTGCAATAAAAACATCACACGAGATTGTTTTACTTTTTTTTTAGTTTAGCTTCATCTAGTAAACTCAAATTCTCTTACTTTCGACTATTTTAAAGACATAATTACCCTAAATACCCAAAACTTTAATTGCTCAATATTCAGTTCTCGAGATTAACAATAAAATTTGGAGTCACACTTACTTCTAAATTTTTAAATAATTCTTGTTTGAGACTCTTTTCAAAATTTTGAAATTTGAACCAAACACCACCACCATTAGCAAATGGAAACTGGAATATGACACTGCATATACAATAATTTAAGTTCAAATTACACCTGCTTCTATTTGACTATTCTCATTGAGAAGTGTTCATTTATACGCAACAGAGGCATAACTGTTCCCAACCCATTATTTATATTTTTTTCCCCATTAAGCATTAATAATCAAAAGCCAGCAGTTTCATCATCTTGTGTTCCATTTTTTCCTACTTATTCAGATATATTTCTTCTTTATAATGGAAAAAATCCCCGAGTTGAAACTCAATAGATAACACACCGGCCCTCCTTGTTCATAGTTGACAACCATCTATCTGCAGTTTGCTCCCTTCTGAACAACTATATTTAAGCATATTAAACCTGTACATCAGTCTCATTTTCTTTATCCAGCAACATAAAGAAATCTTTACAAGATTCTCCGACAAAGCAACAATTTAATACTTGCCATTATACTAGTGCCAGACTTTCAAAAGCTGTATCTGACTAAGAAATATAATGGTTTTAGCTCAGATCAGTACACTCAGTGCAAGCAGGGGACAAAAAGTATCATGTATGATTTTTAACTCCAACAACATCCATGCTTTTGGAAAGATGGATATTATTCCTAGTTCCTACTATCAATGTAAGATATTCATCATCAGACTATACTAGCTATTCTACATCATCCATTTATTACCATCAGAAAGCAAAGGATGATACATGATCACATAGTTTCTAGAGACCACTGACAAGAGCATCTTTAACGATGATATGTTCTTGGATTTCAAGTTTCAACCCCAGCAATCCAGAGCAACAAACACACACTAGCTCTGTAATTATCACATACCAATAGATCACTATCGGAACAAATTAGCTCTCCGAGTAGAAGTTGTATAAAATATAACCAATTGGATTCTAAGCTTTGTCATCTCCGTCAACTTCAGAACTAACTTTTGGATTAGCAATTTTGGCACTTTCCGGTGCCATGACACGTCCAGTCATAGGATCAACTGGTCGAGTGTCCCGTGGACCGCCTTTTTGTCCCATAGCTAGCATAGGCGGAGGAGGTAATACACCTGCTCGGAAAAGAAGACGTTCAACCGGTTCTGATGGCTGTGCACCAACGGATAACCAATATCTGCAGAACCACAAAGATCAGGTAAGCAATACATGATTGTATGATCCTAAAAGCAATCTGATGATCAGAGGGTATAAGAAACAACAAGTCGTAGGTCTTGCAGCAACTAAAAGCAAAGTCAGAGTACAACCACTTGAGCACTATTTTCCTTTAGGACATTTGCAAGAATAAACTTGAGTGATGGCAATCTCATCCAAAGGAAATAGGTAATATCAGCTTCAGGAATAATGTTAGTTATGCTCCTGTCTAATACGAGTCAATACGCAACAGTGATGAAGCGCTTTGATTGTCCTTCCCTACAGTACTAGGGACCATCTTTTTCCTGACTGGCTAAAAGGTCACCTTATTTGAATATATATTGAGCTTTTTACAAGAAATTGCTTTATGTTAAAGCCTATCCTAAAACAGTAATCAACTAAACCCTTAGTAGGTCTCACGAGAAACGGTAGCAAAAATAAGAAAGTTTATAAAACAGCAGCACCACGCTACTGTAATTTCTACAATAAGAAACAACTCCTACAAATATCAGCTATAGGTTAACTCCCTGCTCTACCCAGCCAAAATGAAATCCTGGAGTAAAATAAAAGGGTTAAAAAGGAGATACAAACTAACAAGTATCATTTCTTAATCTGTCTTTATGTGTTGCTGATAATTAGCCTATCAAAATCACAGCTACACTCCAAATTCTCCCAACCAAGTCCACAAACACATATTAACTTATTGCTTACACCCAGCACACTGAACAAATGAATCATCACATCATGTTTATAGATCCATGTCCACAGTAACAGAACAATTAAGGGAAGATGTTTAATTATACCAAACACAACACTCACTTATGTTTCACTATATCTGCAGCCAAGCATGTTCTAAATGATTATGGCAGTCAAAGTACACAGTGCAGCAGAGGACCATTTATTCTCGTCATTATTTGAGAATGGACAACATCATTCTTAAAACTTAAAAGAAAATAAATTTATTCTTTTATATTTTATGTTACCATTATCAAAAAACTTGAAGAAACTAATCCCTCCCAATTGAGTTAGCATATTGTTAACCCCTTCACCCGGATGAATTTTGTTTTTCCAAGATGCATCTCAATCGTAGTGAGGCAGCACTCAACTTGTCACACTCTCAACTAAAGGTAAACATTTAAACATCTCATAAAAAATTATAACCCCAAGTATTCATAATTATAATTTTCTTTTTTAAGTAAATAACTTGTCATACGAAGCATCTAACGGAATGAAACCCATATACAACTAAGTATAAAAATCCTAAGGAAAACCCAAAACCCCCCCAAAAAAAGCGGCCGTTTTACAGTATTACAATGCTTCTTATCCCTAGAATTAAATATGCTCGTAAAGTCAAATGTATCTCAATAACGTCGTTTTCCTAGTTTTTTGCCCTAATAATTTACATTGGTCCACCACCTCAGCTCCAGCTGCATCTTTTCTATACAATTTCCTCAATATCTCAATTCAAACCGCTTGGTTGCTTCCTCATATATATCTGCAATTCAACCTAGAAAGTACCCAACCCCTTAAATTTCTTCCCCATATATACCTGCAATAGTTACCTCAGAAATTCGTCAAACACTTCGAATTGCTGCACTCAGTCAGATCCCTGCCCACACTTGCTCATTCTTTAGAGGTAGCTCATGAGAATTTTTTTTGTTCATGTTCTGTTTCTGCTTCATGTATCTAACAGGAATCTGCTTTGTCCATCGTATTCAGCGAGTTCATATGCGACTATATTCTTTTTGAAGGACTACCGACTAGATGAGCAGAAAATTTTAGATAACAAATTAGCACAGTTCTATTTTACGTGACTACAATGTTATTCTTGATTGTACAGCTAAAACTAGTCTTGAGTACCATTCGCATTCATAGCCATAAAAGAATTTCAATGATTCAGTAGATCAAACAAGCTTTACCAAAATTGCAAAGCTACCAATGTTGAGCTCCCACAGTTTGCATAAGCAACTAAAGTATTAGCTTCAAATAGCCATATGGCCTTTTAGAAGTCTTACGATATTCTTTGTCAGACAACAAAAAGTAAAAGCACGATATATGAACTGAATATTTATCAATATATGATTGTCTAGTTTCTACTCAACCCATTAGTCATCCATCCGATCTGAATTTTAACAAGAGAGCAGAAAATGCAATTAGAAAATCTCTAAATTAATATATGGGGAACTTGCCTAGTTAGGAATCATAACAAAAAAAACTACATGTTCTGGAAATGCACTTACTTCACCCTGTCAAAATTTAGACCCATCCGTTTGCCGCCATCTTGACCTGTACAAATGAAAATTGTAGAAGATATTCATCAGTGCCTCAAAAATATGGTATTCCTTCTGAAATTTTAATGAAGTACTATATGTCCCCCCACAAGCCTAAATGCAGTGTTGTCAAACGCGAAAAGCGTTAAAAGCGGTCCAANTATATATGTGTGTGTGTGTGTGTGTGTGTAATGCAATAAAAAAGTGACAAATTTCATTCATAATGATTTCCTCAACAATCAATTTATTTTGTTTGCCAATCATATATATTGTTTTGTACTGCTTTATTCAAGACAGAACTTATAGGCAATGAGGCGCACGCCTTAGTGCCTTGCCTACACTGTAGCGCAGCCTAAGTGAGGCGAAGGGCATACCCTGAGCTTTTTTTTAGCTTCAGGGCTTAAATGCACCTCAAATGAGCCTTTGACGACACTGATAAACTGAATACAGTACTTTGATAACTAAAAATTCTTAAGTTAAGATTCAACAACTGAGGTTTCTATCAACAAAACTTCTATTAGACTACATAAGGATAAGAACTCATATAATAATCAGTAAAAAGAGAAAATCAAGCTGAAAAATGACAATTTTCAAATGGATTGATCCAAAATAAGGTGAAATGACCAATGCTTAACAGCTCATAACAAATATTAAGCAAAATGATACTCCATAAATTAACTTCCCATGACAACAGCAAAACCTTCACTTTCTATTGAAGAATAACGTAGGCTACTGCTTAAACTTGAGTTGGGAGGTGTGTTTAGGGGGGGGGTGGGGGGGGAATTACCTGG